AAATGCCCCATTGCAGTCACTCCTGTGTGTGTGTGTGTGTGTGTGAGTGAGCATGTCTTTTCTACATTGCATTTGTGCTCTAGTACCAGGCCTTCATTTCTGTATGGAAATTTTCAGATTTATGCCGTATTTATTGTTTTATTTTTACAAATTAAAAAAAATATATATTTTTTTTTTCGCATTTCCCATTCATTTTCAATTTTGGTCATATTGACCCCAAATACCAGATTAGTAAAAAAAAATAATACATACCTTCAGAACAACCGAATCAAGCACAATTTATTTTATGTGAATATAGATAGAAAATGTAGAAAAGTCACAAAATCTTATTCCACTGAGATGAAGTGAACCATTTTTTTTTAACTAAGGAAAGCTTGATTGGGGTCATATTGACCCCAAGGAGAGATTGAGGGTTAAATGAAGATATGTTTACGTTCAGTCTGGTTCAGATGGTTTGTGTCTCCAGTAAACGGTCTGTGATTTTTTTCCGTCTCTGCTGTCGCGCTCCTGCAGCCCGCAGAATCCGGTCTGGACTTCAACACCTGCCATCAGGTACAGGCATTTCTACTTAAGTACCTGTATAGTCGGGGTGAGCGTGATTTCACCAAGTACAACATGTTCCTGGAACAACATTCCTATCAACCAATCAGAATTGAGGGATAACTTTACAGGAAATATCTGTTTTAGGCTTACAATCAGGGTTAGGTGCTTCTACACCCTTGTTAATCAGCTATCATTTCTCACTGTTTTTAGGAATAAATTATGGGTAGGGTTAGGTTTAGAGGTAGGGATTGGGCTAAGTCTATATTTGTGGACAGTTATGTTGATCCAGGAACATGTCTTACTTGGCAAAATCACGGCGACCTTCTCTTGATGCAGTTCAGCTGTCACATTCAATCAGCTTCACATGCGGTCTTCGTCCTTCAACAGGACTGTTATCAAACTCAAAAGCAACTCCTGATTGGCTCATAACATTTATTACTAGACATAGGTTCTCATTAATAAAAAAAAATACACAAGATATATAATCACAAAAATGAACGAAGAAGAAAAGAGCCTACCTTTCAATGATTAAAGCAGGAATACTTTCAAACATGCAAATCTCTTTCAACATCCTTACACCACAACTGCCATCTCATACTGACAAACTTGGCCCATAGCTAGTGGGCATTTATAGTGATGGGCAAAACCATTGACAGTCACGCAAGCTAACAGTAATTAAATTAATAAAAAACTAAACTATATAACTATAATCAACAAATTATTTATCAGTCATGTATACAAATTCCATCATTGGTAAGGCATTCAAATTTTAAAATAACAAACAATCCAAACAACCCTCTGCACTTGGTTTCTCCCACCTCCCATAATGCACCACAGCACAGATATTCCAGACATTCCAGACATTCCTCTGGTTGCCAACCGCCATTAAATTTAAAAGAAGAAGAAGAAGTGCCTCTGGTTTTTCATCTGGTTTGCAGTAAATTAGCACATTTTGGCTGGTTTGAATTAGTGATGGGAAACTGAGGCTTTCTGAACCGTTTGAGGCTTTCATCAAATTGTGCCGAAAAACGGTTCATTACTCGAAGCTTTTTAACACAGTGCACATTAGCGACATCTGG